GCTTAGTACGTGCCAAGTTTTAAATCCCATGGTTAGTGATTTTCTGTACACGTAATGTGTTTGGCAACTTTTCAAGTTTAAGAACGCTGCTGCCTGCTTAAAGTAAATGTACCATCACCCCCACTACTAGTAAGAGTGGTATCGTCCGGCTGTCAAGCTAGCGTCCCACTATTAAATTTAGCAGGGTGAAGCACGCGGGACCGTGCACTACTGCACACAATGCCGTACAGTCGAAACAATCCACAAAGCACTCCAGGGCAAAACGGGTAAACACCTAGGACGCCTGGGCCACTTACAGAAGACACAGATATCTTAATATACTGCAAGAATTGGACATAGTAGACCAAAGGGCATACAGCTACTTGAAGCAATCAACAACTTATACCAATAGATCAGTGGATATTTTAGTTAAAAAACACTGTGAAACCCTGGTGAAATATTAGAGATGATATCTTATTGAAATAAACCGCATTGCTTTGGTAAGTTTTTTGGTAGGTTTTGAAATACCCCATGTTCTAGATCTACAATGTCCAATTCCTTGCCACTAAGTACTGAGAAATCTTGTGACCAATCTCCCAACGGAAGGGTGGAAACAGTTATATTGAGAATCTCGTGAACGACGTGACAAGGTAACATAAATCTGGCAACCTCCACCTCGCAATTACAGACATTGCTTAGAACAGTTTCAAAAGTTCTAGAGACTCTTGTTAACAAACTTCTAACGGCTCATGTCAACCGGATATTAACTGACAAAACAATACAACCCTTCCGCTGACTCGGAGATAGAGGAGTGGACTGATGCCATGGACAGAGGAGAAATGGTGGACTGTGTATCTCTAGACCTTCCGAAGGCATTTGATAAGGTTTGGCACGCAGGACTTCTCTCCAAACTATGAGCATATGGAATCACTGGACTCATGCACGGCTGGTTCTACAGCTATCTCTCGGGTAGACTGAAACAACGAGTGGTCACCCAGGATATTGCTTGATGACAAATATCCGTTGATAACTACATTAGTAAAACTCTGTACATGTTTAGTTTAATCGTACTGACAATGTAAATATAGTAAACGCATGGCGATTTAGCCAGAACGCTTGTCAGTATAGGAACACCTATATATGATTGTTGGACAGTCCTGGCTGTATATTTGTTTATACAGTTTAATAAATCAAATCAAATCAAATCAATAGGGCGACAAGAGGCTATGAAGTTGACGCGTTCAGTCGAAAATTTATGGTGAGTTACTTATTTGTGTTGGAACAAGCTTGAACTCTATACCTAAAGGTGCATATCATGGCAGGGTTGTCAATTTACTTCACTGAAAACACATGTATTTGTGATTTAACCAAGCTCCTTGATTTAACGTTACCTCTTTACATTTATAAATTTCGGTAGGTACACTACCAGGTGCATAAATGTGAAAATTATGTGAATTTCGTGCAAAATTTCAAGGAAATGTGAAAAAATGTGATGTAATGTGAATTTTTTTGAGGTTCAACAGCATCACATTTTATCACATAAGTTCACAGAAAATCATATAAAATAACATTTCTGAAGCGCGACACCTTTATGTGAAAAAATGTTATTATTTTGCGTCACATTTTTTTCACATTTGCAGTGAACGGTCCAGAAAAATCACATTTTCAAATGTGAAAAGATGTTATCTAAATGTGATGTTGGATCTCCTCCCATTATGTGAAATTATGTGACTGCCTGTATGTTCTTTTTCCGCCGATGCCTATGTGATTTTTATGTGAAACGTACTCTCAGTGAAAATGTGAAACAATGTTAACCTGAGTCACATTTTTAAAAATGTGTCTTTATGTGAAAGTTATGTGAAATGGGTTTGACTACAAAATGTGAAAAGATGTGAAGACATCTGGCATTCCGCGAAATGTGAAATATATGTGATGTTCACGAAAACGCAAAATGTGAAAAAATGTGACATCAAATCACATTTTTGACATGTGAAATATATGTGAAATTAATGTGATTCGTGATTACACAAGACCGGGAATCATGTGAGTTGACAGAATATGTAAAAGGTAAGTGTACTTGTAGGTCTTCTCCATTGAATGGGCTAATCATTTGTGGGGCAAGCTCGCGAATGTGTATTGTAAACAATACAGGCCTATTACCTTATTGTATGATGTGATTATTATCTATCATTCAGTACTAATCAACGAACAAAAGGTGTCGAACCCCCCCCCCCACTCCCTCTCGCGTGCCACTCCTTATGTTGCTAATTATCCATTTTACAAGTAAAAGCGCCGAATATCGCGACACATTGATAGTTTGGCCAAGGCCAGTCAAGGCGTTTGAAACACTATTTAAGTAAAGAATCACATGTTTGAAACCCTTTGGTCCAGTTTGTAAAGGCAGTCTGTACAAAATATCGTGTAAGCATCATGAAATACATCAAGTTAATGCTTTGAACTTATACAGTATCTTGAAGAACCGAATTAATGAGTCCCCAAATCACTCGTTAGGACAAGTAAACAAATAAACTCGCAAACTCGTGCCAGATATAAATTTCCGTCCCCGACCCGTTATTAAGGGAATCCCTGGTATGCACCGAAAAAAGTACAAGATTAAAACTAGAATGGGGAGTTCAGCCTCCTTAATTTTTATTCACTAATTACAAGCAAGCGACACAAATCTGATGTCAAATAAGCAAGGACGTGTTCCATTTATTACGCCATAACAACAGAAGCGGGCATACCCCGTGTTTTCCTAACATAGACATGCTAAATAAATAGATTGTCGCGTAATAATAGTCCACAGTTACCCAGTATTATGGTCTTTCTCCGTTTGAAAAATGTTTTATCTGTCTCGAGTTGAACATATTCTATGACTTCTAAATGTTCAGGAAGTCAGTACATACAGCGCCGTGTATATAGACACAGACCGTAGTGAACTTCGGGTAGGTTGTTGACTGAGAAGTTATGGGTTCCAGGCTGATAACGAAAGAATCGTTTAATCTAAAGGAAAACTAAAATAGTCCACAGTTACCCAGTATTATGGTCTTTCTCCGTTTGAAAAATGTTTTATCTGTCTCGAGTTGAACATATTCTATGACTTCTAAATGTTCAGGAAGTCAGTACATACAGCGCCGTGTATATAGACACAGACCGTAGTGAACTTCGGGTAGGTTGTTGACTGAGAAGTTATGGGTTCCAGGCTGATAACGAAAGAATCGTTTAATCTAAAGGAAAACTAAAATAGTCCACAGTTACCCAGTATTATGGTGTATATCGGTTTGAAAATGGTTTTATCTGTCTCGAGTTGAACATATTCTATGAGTTCTAAATGTACAGGAACTCAGTACATACAGCACCGTTCATATAGACACGGACCGTAGTGAACTTCGGGTATATAGAAAATATGTAGAAAAATGTACAGTTGGTAGCAATAAAATCATTTTTGTAACATTCAAGGACATACAGGATTCTAAGATGATAAAAATAGGCTACAGGCGTACTATAGTGTTTGAAAATAAAGTCCAAATACAATACCGCCCTTTACTTGACAGAACGTTTCCTAGCACACGCACTCAAAACGTCTGCAGTGTAACAGCCCTCTTTTCACAGTGTAATCGAATGGGCTTAGACACAAGCCATGCTAGCTTTGACGCGAGAGACGCATAAAGCTGGAAATCCCTGTCGGGCGCTCTAATTGGCTTGCGTTCTGGGCGCAGGTTATCGTCAAAACCCCTTGTTTAATTGTTCTTAGTTTTTAAAAAACTCTTTGGTTACGCTTTTCCGCACTTATTTATACTATCTTCACCATAGTTCCCTGACCAAGAACAAATGTCAGAAGCCATCGCTCATTATGCAAATCGGGTGTAATTGGCACCTCAACGTGAAGTTGGAACTTCACACCTGAGGCGAAGACCCTAAAGCGGAGGCGCGAGAAGCCCCACAAGTTTGTCTCACCCCGATGTGTTTGCATTTTAACACCTATTTGAGGAGGAATCTCGGAAACCTAGAAACGGTCGTAAATAAGCTTGTTACCTGTTACAAAAATTTTCACATAAAATCACATAATCATCTAGGACATAGGCAAATGTGAAATTATGTGAAGCATTTTCACATAAAATAACATTCTGACCTCTTATGTGAAAAAATGTGATTTGAACTTCACATAATTTCACATTTGACTCCTTTCAGTTTGCGGGGTAAAACCGCTTCACATTTCTTCACATCTTCTCACATTTTGAATTCACATTTTTTTGGCCATCTTTTCGGGTTGTGTGATTTCACATAATCGATTCACATTTTTCAAACAGTTACATTGTTTCACATAAAATAACATTTGACGATTCACATTTTGAAAAAAAAATCACATTGTGGGTTTCACATATTTCTAATGGGATTCACATTACATCACATTTTTTCACATTACATTAAAATTTTGCACGAAATTCACATAATTTTCACATTCATGCACCTGGTAGTGGTATGTTGTATGTCAATTGGCCATATACTAACGACTGTACACCGTATTATGTACCTCAGTCAACGACACAGCCACAGAGAAGCCACAAGACTGTCAGGACATCCTTGACAACGACGAGACCACGCCCAGCGGCGTGTACATGGTTTATCCACGGGACAACCTGGGCGGCTTCAACGTCTTCTGTGATATGGACACGGACGGAGGCGGCTGGACGGTAAGTCTAGTCATTTATCTGTAATTTCTCAAAAAGAATTTGGAGACTTCATCACTACATGAAAATATTTAGACCCGTTGTAATTACCACCATGACATGTCATGGAGGTTTATATTTTCAGTTGCATTTGTCCGTCGGTTAGTCAACAAGATAACTCAAGAACGAATGGATGGATTGGTGTCATATTTAGTGCATTGATAGGGTCTGACGAAAACTGGAAATTATTTCATTTTGGCTCCCCCTAGTGGTTTCCCTTGAAACTTCCGGTCTTGATATCTCGCGATCTGGACATGCTTCTTGTTGGCATCCTTCCGTGTCGGGAGACGGTGGAGTATGCGCCGTGGTTCAGTTCGACTTCAGACAACGCCGGCTGTGATTGTAGAGTCCAATCCTGAAGCGGCATGCTAAGGTCATGCATTTTAGGCCTTGTTCACATGACCGGCCAAACCGCAATTCGGGTAACTCACATTCCTCACATCTGGTCCATGTGCCACACCTTCCTTTCGAACCGTGCACGATCACAATTCGCCTGATGTACATTTATTGTTATTTGATGAAAAAAACCTAACGTAGCGTGTTATCAATGCCAGAGGTCAATGACCTGCTTGCTACACCCCCCCCCCCCAGCGTACCTCCCAGCGGTGAAGTTCGTCCTAATTCGGTGCTTACTTCTCTTTTAAGCTACTGCCACGTAAATGGTGGTACTGCATATAAATAAAGAAATATTACCCCGTAATCCATGACCGGGTCAATTTGTACACATTGCGTTCAGACGCAAATCGGGATCCGGGGAAATCTATTCGAAACTACCTCCCGAAGTGGTTTGGGATCGAGGCACTTTCAATGTGATTTGGAGCGTTCAGATGGGGCCACTTGAAACCGGCTTCGTCGGAAACCACATGTAAAGCGCTTTCACTGATTCTGTCTGAACAGGACCTTAGATCGCAGGTAGCTCTTGTGCTCGAGAAGAAGTCACGTGAGTTTGCGCCCCCCAACACGATATCAGGGATTTCGCGGCCAAAACATACGAAACAAAGTCACGAAACAAAGTCACGTTTCCGGAAATTTACAGCTATCAAAAACCAAGACCATAGCATACTAAAGATACAAAACCGAAAGTTCTGCTGCAGTACTAATGTCGGCAACCAGGAGGCCGAACTTTCACCTTGACCTTCGCCTTCCTACAACCTACCCACATACCAATTATCATCACATGTCCATAAAGGCCATCTTACGTTTTGCCCACCACAAGTATGACATACATACTTGGTCAAAGATTATGTGTAATATACCTGTACGTGCCTGTGAAGCAGGTGTGTTACGCCGAAGGGCAGTTATACCAGCTATACCGATACAGATACAGCTTCAATTGTTGGTAATGTCTTCTAACTTTATTGGGAAAGTTCATTTTAAAGTATATTTATTGTCTCTTTCATCTAAAAATGTGACTGGAAGAGCTTGATATTGGGGTTTCGGCCATCCTAGAAATCTTTCTAAAATCTCCGATTTTCTTGTTACTCTTAAAGTTGTTCCAGAGACGCCAAGACGGAACCGTTGACTTCTACCGGGGCTGGGCGGACTACAAAACCGGCTTCCCTTCCAACCTGAACGGCGAGTTCTGGCTGGGAAATGACAACTTGTACCGCCTGGCTGTGCAGAAAGTCTACCAGCTCAGGGTGGATATGGAGGATGTGGAGGGGAACACGGCGTACGCGGCTTACGACACGTTTGCCATCTCACCTGAATCACAGAACTACAGGCTCTACATAGGGACTTACAGTGGTAACGCAGGTAAGGTTGTCAATTGTAGCAGGGTCATCACTCGGAGTTGAGTCCATAGTGAATGATTTTTCGCCCATCTGTTTATTATGTTAACTGAAGGAATATATATTGTTTTTGCTCTGTTTCCTCTATTTCTTCTCCGAAAAATTTAGTAAATGAACTGAACGGGACGTCTATCACCATGGTAACAAGTATTGGGTTACATCATGTTGCAATTTTATGGCAGGAGGGTTAAGACTCCTGTCACCATGTAAATAAATGTGTTTGAGTAAGTATTAACAGAGCAGACCATATGCGAAGATAAACATTATGCATTTGCTTTGCAAATGTTACCTTTATGTAAATTGTCTTGATGTTGCAATATCTTTGATTTATATTTTTTCTTACGGTGTAAAATGTTAAAATCACGAACCTTTTTTTTCATATAAAAAGTAAGTACGTCTACAAAATAATTGCCTGTGTGGCCTTTTGTCTTGGGGTACTTTGGGTATTGTGGAGTTAGGTCTTACTGAAAGAAGCAACTGAATTTGTTTGGCATTAACGTAGGGGGATAATATTGCCTTTTTATACGAGTATGTAAGCAAGATTCAAATCAAATGATTTAGATTACTAAATTAGTATTTATACAGAAGGACAAATTGCAACATTTTTCAGCTAAAAAAATATCTCAGATGTTAATCTGAACCTTTGTTATCATCATATTTTGTATCTGGTTTTACATAAATACCCCAGCAAAATATATATCTGCTAAATTAAGCGCAAAAGAAATGAAGTCAAATTTGTCCCTTTGTCACAGGAGACAGCTTGAGGCTTCATGACGGGAAACCATTCAGTACCAAGGACAGAGATAACGACGAGCACCCGTCCAGCTGTGCTCAGTTGTACAAAGGTGCGTGGTGGTACGTAGCTTGTCACAACTCCAACCTGAACGGCCTGTACCACCTGGGTACTCATGAGAGTCACGCCGACGGCGTCAACTGGTACCACTGGAAGGGTCATAAGTACTCCCTGAAGCGCACTGAGATGAAAATCCGACCAGCTCCATAATGCCACAGCAAGTAAATTTTATGGATGACATCCTTCGCAGACTCCAAATCTAATGCTAGCAGCCGAAAATAAACAAGGCGGGCCGAAAAAACAAGGTTCCTACATTTTGGTTTTGACTCAGTGGGAACTAACATATACACAGCCAGCATGACATATTAGTGCATAAAAGTATAAAAAAAATTAATCAAAGCCGTTACGGGTTTTACGTAAATGTTACAATTTGCGGTACTCCGATAACTCTTTTGTCATTGTTATATAAAGCGGAATTTTTTCTTTTTTTGGGGGGGGGGGCAGGCGAAAATCAATGCTCCCGCCAGTCATCCATGAAAATTATTTGGTGTGGCCTAAGCTGAAAAATGGCCTAAGCTGAAAATTTTATTTTCTTATTTCAGTTTAAACAAGTACATGGACAAGTACAAGTACCTTATCACGACGGCTTCCTTTCTGAACAGAATAAGAACGGCATGTCCCATATTGTAAGATTAATTTGTAATCGTACAGCTAAAATGAGACATCAGAATTAGTTATTCAGGATTGTACTTAGCAGAACCTGTCATATTCTTTATTACCTTCGCCAAGAAGGTTATGTTTTCGTAGGCGTTTGTGTGTGTTTGTCTGTCTGTCTGTCTGTCTGTCTGTCTGTAAACACGATAACTTGAGAAGACTCAAATGGATTGACTTCATATTTGGTAGCTAGGTCTTGATGAGACCTTAAAATGATTAGATTTTGGGCCCCCTAGCGGCTTCTAATGGTACTGCAGCTGAACTTCCGGTTTTGATCAACTGATATAATTCATGCAAATGAGGATCCTATTTGCATAATCAGGAAGAATCATCTTTGTCAATCTTAAAGATTAACATCATTTGGCGAAGGTATGAGATCTTGGGACTCTAGTTATTGCTTTGATCGATTGGCATAGTGTGTTCTAGTGACGTGTAATATATTCCATAGTACGGAGTTCATACACTTTTGAATATAAATATGAATCTGTCTATAGCATGGAATCTGTTGAGGTTTATTGCACATTGCAGTGGTGCACTTATAGTAAAAACAGGTAGATTTAGCGATAGTCGACTTCCAAAAAGCGTTCGACAAAGTTCCCCAGCAGTAGAAGCTGTGATCTTACATGCAAATAAATGTTCACTCATCATTGACAAATCCGTCTTGATGTGTCTTCTTTCAATAATGCAGACAAATGCCACCAACCTACACCCACAATCTCTATTAATGGCAATTTTATTACATACATATGGGCGGGAAATTCTGCGTTTTAGGATATCATACTTTCATGAAAATTCATTTGTGTTGGTAGTTACATGTTTAAAGTTAAAACTTTTGGTCCAACACAAAAAATTCTCTCACCTAGAGCTTTCGACCAGTCACTCTTGTCTTCCTCAGTAGACTGACCCAGTGAAGCTTGTCACGTGGCTTCTTTGAAGTGTGACGTCAACATTGGGTCAAAGGTATCTGGTAGACGATGTCGGCCCCCGTCGCGGTTCAATGTAGGGTGATGTGCCCTGATGTTCCTTCACCCCTCTCAAGACAAGACTATTTCTTGAGAGGGGTGAAGGAAGCCATATACACTTCAAAGAAGCCACGTGACAAGCTTCACTGGGTCAGTCTACTGAGGAAGACCAGAGTGACTGGTCGAAAGCTCTAGGTGAGAGAATTTTTTGTGCTGGACCAAAAGTTTTAACTTTAAACAGGATATCATACAGTTGTTTTCTTTCCTTTGCCCTCCAAACAACGCTAAAAACATAACACACAACTTTCCATCGGGAACAGTTAAGTACGAGTAAAGCTTTATGCTTATACACGAAGATTACATTTTAAAAGAAAAGTTAGTAATACGATCATAGAGCCATAGAGATACAAAAAGTAACATTGAAATCAACATGTTAATAAAACAACGAAGCTTGGGAAAAATATCCGCATAACCAATAGGAATGCTCCTTAGAATCGAGGAATTAAACCAATCAGCATATTTGTTGGTTGTACTGGATTGGTCAATTCGAACATACACGTCATGCGGAGCAAGAAAATGTGGACTTTTGAATTCTTGCTCTTTACACCATCGCTACACTATCATGTTGTAACATAGTGTTTGCATATTATTTAGGGAAAGGCAGGAAATTTCAGCTTTTGCCTTCTGATAGATCACGCATCAGTTTTGAGAACAGTATACTGGAAAAATGAAGGCTGCTAGTATGTGTGCCTCTTCGTTAGCCTGGAATCTATACTTTTCGAGGCTACTACTCATATCGCTTCATAGCCTCTGCCAGGCTTCAGAGGTCGCTAGAAAGAGTAGAAAGTGGCCAAATAGATGGTTCTGAGCGGCACACTGTTCTTTAGCGGATTTAACTCCCCTAGCTTGCTATCTGTCTAGTTGGCCAATTTCTTTCCAGCCGCTACTGAAGCCTGGTAGAGGCTAGGAATAGAGTACAACAGGGAGGACTGCAGCTGAAATAGGATGGGTACGAGGCTAACACTTCTTTTAGGAAATGAATACGATATGGCCACTCTCTGGTCTCATTCCCACTAGGATAAAATTGTCCGGATCGAGCCGAATTGATTCGCTTTCATCCGGCTTCCGGATCCGGCTCAAAGCAGGATCTAAGCCGGATCAAAGCGAACCAACTCGGCTGGATCCGGAACTTTTATCCTAGTGGGAATGTGGCCTCTATGCTGAAACAAATTAAGATCGAGGGATCGCAACGACTTCGTAAGGGTACGGGACGAGGTTGAGACCAGCCTTGGGTCTCAGACTGGGTGGCGGAGCGCCCTCTGGCTTCTGGAAGCGGAACTGCTGCATGAGGCAGGAGAAGAACAGGAACATGAGCATGCGCGCTAGCTGCTCGCCGGGGTTGGACGCACACCAGCCTGGAACAACATGGAAACGGGGATCGTGAACAAAAAAACTTCAGCAAGTTAATTTACATGCGTAGCACCTTATACTGGACGGTACAGACAGAGACAGACAGAGAACTGCCGTTGAAATAAAAGTGAAGTGAGAATGATAATTCGATGTGCGTAGGGAGGAAACATAACGACCTGAGACGGAGGGCGACACAGACTTCCAGAAGAAGCAATTTCACTGTTATCAGAATTGACCAAAGATGTGACCATCAGCATTCATTGACACCGTAGTATCTGCTGGGAGATTTCGTATCGTATAAGATATTGCATACTGTAACTAGAAAGGCCGACATTTGCTTTGCAGCAAATGTAGCGGATGGCTTCACCACATTTTACGACATGGCAGGGAAAGCAGTAGAAACATGAGGGAAAACAATTCTTTACATTGATATAACTATAGTATGAAGTGACAACAGTTGAAAAGCTATCCCCTACATTATTGGTTAGGATTTTTTGTTGCATAATGCAAACTGTTGATTTTCAAGATAAAAAGAATGCTGGAGCAGGAAAGCTTGACATACCTACCAAAACACTGGAATGCAGTTCATACTGCCAATATGGCATGGCTTTGTACAGGTGTTAATTGAGTTAATCCAATCAAATCCCAACAGCCAATCAGCAAGAAGAATAGAAGAGAGCTGCATTGGTTGCTTGCTCTGCATGCCATTCTGATGACTAATGTCCAGTTGCCAAATGTGGTAACACACTGCTGTAACACAGCCAATAAGCTCAAATAAGACCATTCTAAAAGCCTGTATCAAGCCATAATTACCAGAAGAAAACGGAAGGAAGATATCGTATAAGATATTTTATACTATAATTACCAGAAGAAAATGGCAAGAAGACGCCTTCCTTCATCAGGTTCCCGTCGCTGTCCAGGAAGCCTGCAGGGTCGAACTCCAGCGGACTCTTCCACACTTCCGGGTTCATGCTGACCGAACACACGTTGGGAATGATGACTGTTCCCTAGAGAGAGAAAGATCACAAGTGGCGTCGGGTGGAGTAGTGGTTAGAGCAATCGACTATGAACCGGGGAGACCCGGGTTCGATTCCGAGTCGTACCCGGTACATATGTCTGAACATGCGCCCCGACATTGTGCCCTTGGGAAAGGCACTTAACACGACTTTCCTCACTCCACCCGGTTACCCAGGTGTGAATGGGTACCTAACTTCGGTTGGGGAAAGTCGTATTGAGGTCACCTTGTGGCGCCGAATGGCAGCCGCACAGACCCTTGCGACAGTTCCACAAAAAATAATTGTGGAACAAATATGTGTATCATGTGTATTATTTGATTGTTGTAATTGTTGTGATTTGTATTGATTATTATGTGATACCCTGCATCAATTCAGCCGTATAAAGGCTGCGACTGCACGGGTACTGTTTGGACAATAAAAAACCATTTATTATTATTATTATAACACAATCAGATCTTTCTTATCTCTTGACAGAGAACTTGATTGACAACAAAGTACAGTGACTTTCGTATTATAAAGGCCCGGCTATATGTAGACATACAGACAGGTGGGTCCAACGAATTAACGTAGTACAACACAACAGATGAATCAACTTGCACTACTTGTTCTAAGGTCTTTTGAGATGTAGCCTCTACCAGGCTTCAGAGGCGGCTGGAAAGAGTAGAAATTGACCAAATAGACACTAATAACATGCCAGGGGAGTTTGTCCACTATATGAGTACAGTTTGTCGCCCTGATATTTTTTACTCTTTCCATGGAGTTACTCCATGTTCTTTCCAACCACGTCCAACTGAACTATGAAGCCCGGTAAAAGCTATTTCTGATGTACACCAGGCTAAAATTAGGAACAGAGAGAGGGGGGGGAGAAAAAGAGAGAGAGAGAAAGAGAAAGAGACAAAGAGAGACAGAGAAAGAGAAAAAAAGGAGACAGACAGGGAAAGGGAGAGAGAGAAAGGTAGAGAAAGAGAGAGTGCACTGACAATAAAGAGAACAGAACAAGTGCTGCTATGGAGCCCTAATGTATATTGAAAGAAAACAAAATAACACATTAGATTTACGATTATATTATATTTCATTTCATTTAAAATACATATTTCAATATAGATAATAATACTGAATTATTTAGAAGTGATGTACATATACGGTTGTATCTTTCTAACTTTTGGAATGTTGAATCCAGTGGTTGCTATCGTAGAAAGAGAGAGAATGTGTGTGTGTGTGTGTGTGTGTGTGTGTGTGTGTGTGTGTGTGTGTGTGTGTGTGTGAGAGAGAAGAAAGAAAGAAAGAAAGAAAGAAAGAAAGAAAGAAAGAAAGAAAGAAAGAAAGAAAGAAAGAAAGAAAGAAAGAAAGAAAGAAAGACGATTGTATCTTATTAACCTTTGGAATGTTGAATCCAGATAGTTCCGTGTCGTGTTGAGTGACGTGGGTGAGGGACAGCGGTCCTGTCAGCCGCAGCCGGCTCACTTCCATCATGGCGGCTTCCGTATAAGGAAGGTTCGACCTGTCAATCAAAGACGGGAGGCGGTCCTTCCCGACAACACAGTCAATCTCTTCATGTACCTGAATGACAAAAAAAGGGAAAAAAGAAATGACACAATAATATAATAATAGTTAGAGAAGTAACATTTTCAAACCAAATGCAAGATGTGCGTCTGTATCTGCTGGATCGGTATAGCCAGTGTAACCAAGCACATGAGGTCAATGACCTGAACTAGACGTCTGTCATCATGATAATTGGTGATGTAGCAGACACCCTGTGGTGTTACATTATGTAGTAAGTGGCAGGACAGGGTTGGTGGGTCAGGTCACCTTCGGCGTAACACGCCAGCTTTGCAGGCACGCGGCGCGGAGGCAGCTGGCTACATTACACCGAACAACTTCTTACACCTAGTCCTTGAACATCTAACTCTAACCATTGTTAAAGTTGTTTAACATGCCATGACATGGTATAGTCTGACGAACAAACTACTGCTCTTTTTGTTCTTGCTCGAACACAACATTGAATTTCATATACTAGTACGTGGTTACCAGCCTCTCCAACTTTGTTCTGCAACTTGCTACATAATGTACCTAACACCTGAGAAAAAATGACGCAATAAGATAATAATCGTAAATTATAAAAGTCAATTTGCCAAGTATATGCATAACATTAACATTCACATAGTCTAGCCTAACAAACTATTCATTCTCACGACCACGCAAACATGGTACAATGTATATGGTGACCAGCCGGGCCCCAACTGTCCTGACACTTGCTACATAATGTAACCCAACACCACAGGGTGTCTGCTACAGCACCAATTACCATGGGAACAGCCGTCTGGTCCAGGTCATTGACCTTATGTGTCTGGAGAAGAGGAAGAAGAGTAAGTACATGCTAACCTTTTCCTGAACTTCTGGATACACAGACATATAGAGGATGGCCCATTGTAGTGCTGCGGCGGCCGTACTGGTGCCTGCGACAAATATGTCCCTGGAAAAAATAGTATGATGTATCTTTTAGATTGTAATCAGCCAAAAGACATTCTCAGAGATCTCATTGCATGCTGGGAGATGCGAGAAACTATGGGTTGCTCTGAGAATGTGACATGACCGTAACCATGACAACCCGCATGCGTATTGTGTCCATAATAATCTTTGCACCCTGAGCTACCCATAGTGCCCTGCGTCCCCCAACATGCAATGGGATTCGTGAAAACAATGTATCTGTATCCGTATCGGTATAGCCGATATGACCGCCCTTCGGCGTAACACACCAGCTTCGCAGGCACGCGGCGCGGCGGCAGCTGGCTACATTACACCGAACGACGTGTTACACCTAGCCTCCCACTGTAATGCTCCCACTGTACTTGGTGGCGGTGAGTTCCACTCTGCAATAGTTCTAGGAAAGAATGAAGTTTTGAACACCTCAATCCATCTTAGAAAAATGTAAAATTATCTTCGATTAGTAAGGTCTAGATCTGTTTTACGTTAAGAAAGAAAAATATTAGCCAGATATTTTTAAGATCGCATACCGTATTGCCTCCATCAACAAGTCATCAGTAAACTTGATTCCATCATTTGAGTCTCGAACTTTAGACAGATACACGTCTGTGAAGTCCCTCAGTTTCTCCGGGTCGAACTTTTCTCTGTGCTCAGTCACCGTCTTCTTCATAAAAACCTGCAAACAAATCGCATTTACAGCATTATTGAAACGTTGCCGCCATATCCGTTTGCTCATATTTGTACTTGAAAAGAACCTTTGTTTCATGTAAGGTGTTACGATACCAATATTAACTAGTGTTAATTAATGATTATTTGTTCTTATCTAATTATAATAGTATATTATGTCACGTATGTTATCGAAGTGGAAGTGGTGGATTGGTCATTCCTTGACAAAGACTGGAGTTGTACAGTCGAAAATTTGGGTGAGTCCAATTTGTTGTGTTGGAAATTACAGTTTAAATTTGCTTCATAGTGATTTCTACCAACACAGATGAACTTTCAGGATATGTTGTTAAAGATCATGATTACTACATTGTATTTTATCAATAGTTATACTGTTATAATAATGTTTCATACAATTAATGTCGTAGGGGGAAGATCGCGGACAGGCCATAACGGCTTTTTATCCCCCTCCCCGCAGATCTTCTTCTTTTGTTATGTTTATTTTATTATTTTGATTATATGCTAATCAACAAACAAACCTGCACCACTTCGCTATTCTCGAAACATTCTTTATGTCCCCCAAACGGAAGGTGCCTTAGAAATGGGAAATAATTCCCGAGAGGAATCTTGGAAGCTGCGTCTGTAGTCCTCTTGAAGAGGTCCAAGAAGCCGCAGAATTCCTGATGGTCGAACGGAAATGTGACGTCAAAGATCACGGAACAAATCGTGTTGGCGACGCTCTTCAGGAGGAGTCTTTCCGGGTCAAAGGGCGCGCTGTGCATGCTGGTTACATGGTCGAGCAGGCTCTGTATCTCGTCTGTGATTTTTCTCTCCAAACTGACGGTTTGACCCAGGGTGAAACTACGAACGATGTAGGAGCTCAGTCGCTGTTGAGCTCTCCAATGGGAAGGTCTTGGCGTGGAATCTAAAAAAAAATAAGAAACGAAATAAGTCATAATAAGTCACGAAAGCCAGCAGACCCCACTGCTATTTGCCAAACAGTTACTCAGGCAATTGGATATGGTCCAGTTGCTTGTTAATTAAAAGAAACAAATGTGTAATATCGTCTGTGCATTATTCATGTCCCTCATGTGCTTTAGTAGGTATTGTTTGATCTTCTCATGTGGTTGTGGAATGAAATGAACGCTCCCTGTTTTGGCAGACGGTATCTCTTGCAGAGAAGGCATCCACTGTTTACCAGGCAGTTGGCATTGATATATGAACTATCAGCTGTCGAAACTCTGGCTATCAAGTAGAGCTCCGGACGTGACTTAGATTATCTTTAGTGACCCGAACTTCCATGGAACACCGACCCATACCCCTGGTGTCTTGACATGGCAACATTTTTTTCTTCATCTTGCAATTTGATATTGACTTAGGTATATTTATTATATCTATGTGTATTATATGAAGACAATAGTCTATTTCAATAGGACCAAAAAAAGTTAATTGCCGAGGACAGAACTCGAGTTCGCTATTGTGTTTAATTTTCTCGTTTTATTTCTTTAAACTTTGATACCAAAGCAAAACCTTTCCCCTCTGTTTATTTGACAACTTTGACCCGACAGTATAGGTCAGTTCTGACGTCTAAATCATTGAAATGATACTAAACAATATTTAGGTAGTGAGGCGTGTTTAACCCAAGCAAAGAAACGACTGGCCAAAAAGAAGGGGGGGGGCTAACTGATGAACCCAATTTGCAAGGGATCATTGGAACGAAATGGACCATTTTCAAAGATAACAGCTAATTCCGGAACGCTGATTTAGTTTGGTCAGGCAATCTCTAATTACTTAAGTGTTGTTGACAGACGACATATTGGCGATTGGACCGTTCCACAATAAGAAGGGGGTACTTATTTTATAATTTTCATTAATTTTGAAAGAAAATCATATACTTGGATAGCCCACAATATACGCAGGTAAAACACATGGTTTGCTATAGATGTTTAGTGAAAGATAGTTAAGCAAAGAGGCAGAATTTAGTGAGTTGGTTCTTTTTATGCCTAAGAAATGGTACGGTCTGAAAAGGACGACCAGACTTCCTGTCGTCCCTATATGGGGAGGAATTTTTCGCGAGGTCGATTTGGGTCAGCAGACGATAACAGAGTTGTCATTGTATCAGATTCGGTATCAACTATCTAGTCTGGGGCTCGGGTTACAGTATGAGAAAAACACATCCACTGGTTTATCTCTTAAAGGCATTTGATTCATATACCAGACGTGGAATCTATGTCGTGGAATAGGTATTGATATGGTATTAATATTCATTGCATATTCCTACCCAAATGGGCTAAATGCACATGAGACCAAATGTTGTCTAGAGCTAGGATATAAAACATGGAGAATACTGAAACGCTACGTTCTAATGCTAAAAGTCTAATTGTTTTACAACAATACTTCGTACAACTTTTCATCTACTGTTAATAGCCGTTTCTTCTCTATTTTTGAAAAATCTGGAAACATAATAATGGAATGTTATACTATCATTGGTAGTTTCAGTAGAACCACCGGCAAGCCTAGCCTCCATCAGGTTTCGGGAAGTGGCTGGAAACCAGGAGCAAACTTTTCTTTTACTAGTCTTAGCGTGGACCAGATCCTATACATGTAGCACACAAGTATCTGATAGTCCATTTGGCCTATTCTATCTTAGCCTCTAACAGGTTTCGGGAGACGGCTGGAAAGAGTGGACATTGACCAAATAGAGAGATAAGATGCCGAGTATACTCTCTATCGGTCTCTCAACTCCCTCGGCATGTTATCTCTCTGTTTGGCCAATTTCTACTCTTTCCAGCCGCATCCCTAAGCCTGGTAGATGCTGCAATTTCCCGAAGCCTGGTAAAGGCTACGATGAGCCTTCGATAATTAGTTGGCTAAATAATAATAAAATCATTGTTATATATATATAGTACATTTATTTAGAAATGAACCCTGGGTAGTTTTTGCTGACATTCTACTTAAATGGTGCACCCAAAATTTTTTGTGCACCCAATTTATTTTACCCAAAATGAATTTCGAGCCCTGCATACACAATTCAAACTTACAATAATATATACAAGCATTGGATTACACAACTATGTATAAGTTTTCAAAACAGAACCTACCTCCGTAAATAATTTCATCAGGTTGGTAAACGAATGAATAGCAAAGTCCTTTGATAACAAACATTAATTTATTTTTCACGAGCCGACGTTTCGATGACCGTCTGTAAACCAATCAGAATTGCCCTGATGAAGATGACAGACGGTCATCGAAACGTCGGCTCGTGAAAAATAAATAGTTGTGATCAAAGAACAACCATTCATTCGTTTACCAACCTGATGAAATTATTTACGGAGGTAGGCTCTGTTTTGAAAACTTGTACATCATTGTATAATCCAATTTTTGTATTTATGTTATTGTAAATTTGGAATGTGTATGCGGGGCTCGAAATTAATTTTGGGCAATAGATACACTGGTACACCCAACCTAAAAAAATTGCTTTACTATTCAGAACCTACCTCCGCTGATGCCTCCTGAGGCCAGTCTGGGTAGAAAGTAACTCGGTCTGTGGGAGAAACAACCGGCCTTGTCTAAGAACGCTTCCCGCATGGTCTCGTACCCGTTCAGCACCACCACGAGACGCGTACCGAGCCAGAAGCTACACACGTTCCCGTACTTTCTCCCCATGGCGCCGAGGGTTTCATGCGGCATGTCCCCGAGAGAGATCAGGCTGCCGACCACGGGGAAGGCTACGGGCCCGGGCGGCAGCCCTCGCCGACGAAAATAGTACCACACCGCCCAGGCGTCCACGAGAACGATGAAGAGCACGGCAAGAACGGTGGTGGCGTTTAAGTCTATCATTGTTGTTGTACTTGTACGTTTCTTCTTAGCTTGTTGCACACAAAGCGGTTGCACAAACTAAAAGGGTTGCAGCGAAGGATTATTAACGCGTTATTTAACTCAAGCTTTCTGAATCAGAGGCTTGGCCTGGGTGTCTTTAAATCTGGCCGTTGTCATAGGAGAGTCCATTCAGTCATCAGGGTACATATTTTGTTTTTAAAAATTCATTAAAACTCTCAGTGACAATTATCTGAAACTAACGCTACATACATGTTGTTCCCAATTTAAGTTTGAATAACGTCTTTTTAAGTTACTACAGATCGTTGCCTTAGTTTAAAGGTATTTTACCCTAACTTTTTTTATTATCTCCCTGTTTCAGCGATGGTTTGATCTAAATAGAAATTCTGTCCGAGGAACAGTAGTATGTCCCGGGACACTCATGCGCATACCGCGCGTGCGTGGCATGACAGGCGCACTTGTCACATGTCGTCTGTTTACATGGGTTTTCGGGGGAAAGTTCGTTAATGTTAAGGCCACGGCAAGTAATTTTTACGGATGACATTAGCGCGCGCATTAATTTTTGCCGGATTTGGGGGGAAAAGCAAGACATTTTGTACAACTCCAGTCTTTGTCAAGGAATGAGCAATCCCCCGCTTCCGTGACGTCACGCAGATAACACACGACTCCGTGAGCAGTGGATCATAGGTTCCTGAAAGTCTGTGGCGCCCCCGTCTCTGTTGAGGGATGGTTTTAATGCCCTTGCTTCATAATGATCTCTACCAAGACAGATGAACTTTCAAGATAAGAAATTTTGTTGCACTCTGACAGTGATCAACATGCCGAAAATGGGCAAAGATGTCTGTTGCCATGCTGGAAGGTGGATGGCAGATAACTATGAAGATAGGAGACAAGAAAAGGCTCTGATTTATTTTTTTTTTTACTTTCATGCAGTAATATGTGATGGTAGCTGTGTTTATGTGATGGTCCCACTGAATCAAAACCTTTTGTACAATGTTTGAGTCAAAATCTGAAAATGTTGGAACCTTTTTTTTTTTTTGGCCCGCCTTGTTTTTTTTCGCCCGCTCGCGTTAGATTTGGAGTCTGTGGAGGATGTCATCCATAAAATTTACTTGATGCGGCCTAATCTCCAAGCAGATCATACGGTGGCAAGGCAGTATCCATTGACCAGAGGAGTGTCCATTAGAAGATCTGCCGGTACTCCCACAGTGAGGAGCACTTCTTTTAAAAAATGATGTAGCTTCTATTTTATTTTATTTTAATTCAATTGTAACACAATACACTGGCCACCTAGGCAGCATAGCTGATTTCGGGTGCCAAACAATACAAAGATTAACATACACAATATAACATACTAATACAATAAACTAACAAGTACGACATTAGCTTCGGTGGCCGATGGACACTCCTGTAGTGGTGAGGGACCAGCATTAGAATATCCCATTGGAAATCTATGCTAAAACCTCTAGAAACAAGCACTTTAAAACACATTTACCTTTATCTCAAATCTCAAGTCTTTGCCCCCAATGCAAAGCTCAGGATTTTCAAGTGTCTTTTGGTACAAATAGTGGCAGTTCAACTCCTGTGTTTTAATGAGCTACAGCTAAAATATTGAAATGATACCATGATTTCACCCCCTGGCAAAGTGGCACAGTCCACACAGAGATCAAGTATTTAGAGGTCAATGACAGGTCAAACCATGAAAAAGGTCACACTTTTTGGCCATATTTTAAAAATAATCATTCTTCTGTCCTTCTTACCAGAAAACTGGGCCTTTCTCAGCAAAATTTGCCAAGGAAAAAAAATTATCTAAAAAATAAGTCCCAAAAATCTGCTTGGAGATTACGTTTACTTACTTAATGTCTCACTCTCCTCACCAATAGTTTAGGTTTCAGGTTACTTGTTATGAAAAATAAATACACAAAGACATAACAACTGTGGTTGTATTTAATGGATATTGAATATGGTACACAGATAATACTATGATCTATCTCAGAATGCCTTAGAATGTATCACATATGCAATGGTCAAAATCCGTTTGTTGTTCGAGTGAACCTTTATCCTTATGGTTTGGGTTGGTCCATGCATGCTGCCAAAATAGATAAAAGCAAACGAATAAACAAACGGTGGTTCCACTATATGTTCCATATAGCTTTATGCCCACCGCTACATGTAAGTGATTGCCCGCGTACGAATAAAAAGCATTGTGATGCAATTTTAATAAAAGTTGAAGCACACATATGCAACAAGGTAATTTGTATGTGTTATCATATAGCCAGGTGGCGTTGACCAATCAGAAGCCCCCATTTCATATTGATTATGACGCCATAACGTCACAGTTAGCATGACGAAAATCTAACAATATGTCGCTACGCTCACTCGGTGGTTTTATTCGATGGTTGTAGCAACTGCCAGGGCTTTATCACACCATATACACCTCGGGGCGGGTCATTAACATCAGCTGTATTTAATAAAACTGCAGGTTTCTAGGTTTTCCTGCATATTCCTACATAATTCACAACAATCTGAGTTATTTTTTATGTGCAAACATAATTGAATAATAAACAACGGACTATTCTACCTAAAACTGTTATCCATGATTCAGTTGTAATAAACAAGAGTTGATTATCCAAGATAATTCTTATCGTATAAACATGGTGATTCCGCGAGTCTTGATACTTGTGTCTCAAGAAAGTTGTGCCGCTTCTTAGTAGCACTTCCTCTCAAGGTGTTTCCTTGTCTTCTCCTTCAACAGTGATCTCAGTGTCCTTGGGATGGCCTTTCTCCTTGTCAAGGTCATCCTGACAGAAAAGATCAAAGTTTTTATTGTGAATTTCTTTTCATGTTTACATCTTTATGCATATGCATTTTCCCTCTAGTGTCCGACGAACTTCATGTGCCTAATCTTTTGTGGTCTGTAGTTAAGGAATTCCCCCGGTTTCAAGCCAGAAACGGGAAGAAACCGAACCTCTGTAATAGAGTAGTTTTAGATCTAATGTTGTTAGATTAGTATCAGTAGTCCTGTTTGCACTACAGATGTGTGTACCTGTTCATTTGTTCACCTGTACTTAGCCCGATAGGGCATGAATGTACAATAATAGGGGTGCGGAATTTTACGGAATACAGTGCAATTTTACGGAATACAGTACAATAGTATTAGTATACAGTGCAATTTTACGGAATACAGTGCAACCGTATTAGTATATATACAGTGCAATTTTGATAGTATACGGAATACAATGCAATCGTATTATACTAAGGTACGGAATAAAGTGCAATTGTATTAGTATACAGTGCAATTTTACTAGTAAAATTGTAGTATACTAATACTAGTATACTACAATTTAGAAAACACTAGTATACAGTGCAATTTTAGTAAAATTGAACTGTATACTAATACGATTGCACTGTATTCTGTAAAATTGCACTGTATTCTAATACGATTGCACTTTATTCCGTAAAATTGCACTGTATACTCTGGCACCCCTGAATAAAGGTCATTTGTTACATGTACTTACTGATGAGGCCACGTCTTTCATGTCGATTTCTTCTTGTAACTTTCCCGACATCTCAACTCTGACCCTTGCCCTCGGGATATTAACCTTGGTGCTCGGTGTTCGAAATTTGCTGAGGTCAAGTTTGTCCCCCTGACGCCTCATCCTCCGTATCTAAAGGACAAAAATATACGTTAGGGTTGCTTTAACTTTAACTAATTTAATTTCTCCATTCACGAGTTTCCCATTCCTAGAATACATTGCGAAAACAGGGGTCTAAACCTCATTTGCATTCACCAATTTCACACTTCCCATAATGCCTAGTAACGGTCACGGATATGACGTAAGACCACCCCCTCCCCCTTCCTCGATGTAATATTTCCAACAAGTTCTATCGACAAACTGGTCAACTATTATTTTGAATTATTTCTCTAGTATAAAGCGCATGCCATAATTGCATTTTTATTGGTCTTACGTCATATCCCTGCATATCCGTGACCGTTACTAGGCATTATGGGAAGTGTGAAATTAGTGAATTTGCACAGGACAGGAAGGCATCGGAATGATCCTGGTGACGTTAAACAGCTTGCTTTTCACTGTGATTTGAGGTGTTGGGGAATTTTATGCTCAACATTAATTAAATTACAATGGGTCGAATCTGACAACAAATAGAGACTGAAGTTTTTGTGTTCTTTTTAACATGGAACCACGTGTGGTTCGTAACGTTACAGCATCAGTATAGCGTTACCACTATAACGTTACAAACCACATATCATCCAAAAAAATCATTCTCTATTTGTTGTCAGATTCAACCCATAGTAATTTAGTTAACGTTGAGCATAAAATGCCCCAACACTTGAAAAACACACTAAAAAATCGAGCTGTTTCGTCAACAGGATCGTTCTGATGCCTTCCTGTCCTATGCAAATGAAGTTTAGACCCCTGTTTTCGCAATGCGTTTTGGGGATGGGAAACTCGTGAATGGGTTGTGAATTTAGGTTTTCATTAGATCTTATTAAAACCTCCTTGTTGTAAAGAAAAACATTATATAACGTAAAAAAGTCTCGATAAATAAGCAATGTTTTTTTTATTTATTTGCACAAATAAAAACATTGATCAACAACTATACAAAACAAACTAAGGAAAAACGTGTGCAGGAGGAGGAAAGAAGCCTGCAAGGCTCCTTCTTGAAACTTACACTGCACGAAAAGTGGGATTTACCACCAAGGTAAATGTGATGTAAAGCCGGGTAAAGGTTACATTTCCCAGTGATTTACCAACATTTACCCGTCGGTAAATGTGCAAATTTACCCGGTATTTACCTGCATGGTATAGGTGGTAATGTTTGCCTTATTTACCCACATTTACCGGTTTCGTGTAAATACGTATTTAGCGAGATTTAACGTGCGCGGTATTTCTCACATATATTTACCGAGATTTACCATATGGGGTATTTTTCACATGCATTTCAGGCATTTACCGAGATTTACCATAAAGGGTATTTCTCATTTCAGGTATTTACCGAGATTTACCGAGCGTGGTATTTCTGACATTTAGTTGAATTTACCCGTATTTACGCGTACATGCCCTTACCAGAACGACTTGCCATATTTACCCCCCTTTACCCATATTTCCTTAATAACGTTGTATCACTCCCCTGAATTATATACAAGCACAGGAAATGGGTTCTGGGCAGAACTCAGAAATATTTATTTAAAAAAGCATAGAAATTAAACATAAATTGGCTGTTACCTTTTCTAAAAGGTATGCAAATAAGCATTACATACAAGTAAGTAAAAGTTTTATGTACAAGTTATACACTTTTTTCTTATAATGTTCAAATGATCAGTGACCATCTGTGTTGTACTAACAAAACACATAGGCATATACATACACATACAACAGAATAATAATAAATACAAGCAGCATTTCTCATGAACACACAGACTATCAGCAGACACAATCTAAATAAAATATTATCATTCTCTACTGACACACAGCCTTTGAGAAACTATACACTTGGTTTAACATGTACCAGGAAAAGTTGTCACATTTTCTATGGAAAATCCATACCAGCTTGTCACCCTTAACATGTCATTATATCCCACATGATAAAAAGCTTGAAAACTGACCACATGAGGCACATGGCACACCACAATGTTAACTTTTGGGAAATATGTTGTAGAACTGCTCATGTATAAAC